TCATAACTGCGGCAGGACTTTTCAATAAATATAATTCAGACATGATGCATCAAACTGACTTTCTCATTAGTATTTTTCTGCAGCTGAGAATCCGACTGAGTCTTTCTTTAAAATTAATTGTCAGATCTTCCACCCAACCGGCTGCTTCTGATTGCAGGAGGTATTCTCAGGTCAGCTCATCCTGCTGCTCCTTACACATCATATCTGGGTTTTCTACCTTCAGGCCTGGAGCACCACTGTCTTCACCAGCTGCACTGCACGATGCATTATTCATGTGCACAAAAACATTTTTTCATATTTAGCAGTTTTAAATAATCATTTTTAAAATTTGCATAAAATAATTTGGTGTTCAGTGTGTTTTGGTTGGCAAATACCTCATTAAAGCTAACAAACAGCTCTATGTTCCTGACCGGTGTAATTAAAAGTACCAGATGTGCTTTCACATCTTAACTTAATGAAAAGGACTAAAATGTTTTACACAGAAGCAGTAATAAAGATACGGTAAAGTTTTAACGAGGGTAAAACTTCCTGTCACAGTTTTCACATAACAGTAAATGTTTAGTTTTTGGGATATTTTATATTTAATAAGCCTTATTAAATTTGAAGCATTTATCTAAATAATTTCTTCTCTGAGGAAGTTTTAAATTTAAATATTAGATAATTTAACTTTAACATTTGGATATTCTAATATGAAATGTGCATACCAGTATTCACAAATAATTCTGGTAAAAAATCAGTAATACCCAAAGAGCAGAAGAGAAAATACAATATCTCGACTAGTAGACGCTAACCATTAGCATTAGTAACTCCACCACACATCAGAACTCCTCCAAGCTGGTGTTATTTGTGGAGATAAAACACAAGCGTTGTTAGTAGTAGAGTTACGTTGCTGTTATTTAATCCGAGGCAAGGTGTCCAAATATCAGGAAATAAGACTCTAGATCTTGCCGCCTGAAGCTCAGCTGTGATGTGGCTTATTTTTAGTTCCTGAAAATGGTGCACCGGTGCTTTCGTTCCCCAGAGTACGACTTACCGGGCTTTTACTCCTACTAGAAACCACTGTAAATGTGTTGATTAAATGAGTTCCACACCTTTAATATTCTTATTAAGAGATTGTATAATTTATTTGTAAAATAAAATGATGTTTTCTTGTGTTGCCTAACTATTAAGCAGATCTTTTACAGATCCTCTGCTTAGTATGTAACACTGGTAAACAGGTGATTTGTTTAATTTAGTGATGACTCCCTCCTCTAGACACCAATGAAGACTGAGGAGACATTTCAGTTGTTAGATTAAGGTGTTGAAAAGATTAACGAGGAGATACATTTCATTTTCGGTTTCACCACAAATAATAATGGACCCTAGGGGGTGCTAAATGCAAGCAAAACTGCTTAGTATGTCTTATGCCTGTTAAAAAGAAAACAGCATGTATTATCCATGAGTCTGTTGATAATAATCAACATCATCACAAGCAGAGGAATGAAGTGCACAATCTTTTTGTTTTACTTTGTGGATCTTTGCTTCAATGTTAAGGATTTGGCTCGTTGCTTTCTTGACAAATTTCAAACCCTACACACACACAGCCAGTTACTCCTCAAATCTACAATGTGAAACTGGAATCCAGCTTACTTCCAAGATGTCTCACACAGAACCTCAAACTTTAATCTCATGGAAAATAATATTCAGCAAAGTGAGACGGATTCCACCTCACTTATGGATACTCATGCCAGGGGAATAGAAAACTGCTCGTAGACACCTGGAGCAGCTCTCCTGGTCTGACTAATCTGCTCATCTGGTCTGTGATGTGACTCTTTTGTCCTCTTCTGCCTTTCCTGTTTACACATCAGTGCTGTCGGATTAATGACTGCAGCCTCTGAGCCCCAACAGATCATCCTCGATGTGCAGCATTGTGACACCAGCCACACTCGGAGGCGTCTGCGGTTCGGCTGAGTAGGAAGACGGCTAGGATCCTCGATGCACGAGGCTGAGGTCGGAATGGTGTCTGATTTGGAAAACTGCTCAGTTAAAATGTGAGAAACACGGCTGCTGTTTTAGTGTCAGACAGACCTGAAGGTTTTACTTTGGGGCCCTGCAGAACAACCACTAATGGATGCAGGATGTGCACCACAGCCAGAGGACACAATCCAGATTAAACCTGGACTTCCTTCTTTATATATAAAACAGATCCCAGGAAAATGCTCCTTTACTTTCATTCAATTACAATGTTTAGATTAAAATTCATCACTTACGCCTTGATCAGCTGAGCTCTGCAAAATATTAAAAAGGTAGCCAACGTTTTTATTTACTGTTATGTAAATGTTAATGCCTGTTTGTATAGGTTTATTAGATCTATCTGCATGGATTTTATAAATGGTTCTGCTTGTCTTAATAAAGAGCAATAATAGTAATTAAACAAATGTATTTTCTCTGAATCCAGCAGTAAAAACATGAAACCACGTTACCTAATTATATGATGTCTGTTGGTCAAAGAGGTGAAAGGAAATACTTCAGCAGGAGACTAAACAGAGGGAATAACTTAGGTATGAAAAATCTAATTAAACTCATTTTTTTGTGCGTTTCATCTGGAATTATTAGATCTGACCCCAAAAATGAAAGGTTGTGTTGAGTGACATGAGATGGATGGAAAAGCTCTCAACAGCGCCGGCCATGTTTCAGACGGTAATAATGTGGTGGGAAAACCGAGGCACAGACGGTTTCTTACAGAAACACAATCTTTTAACAATGTGTTATATGAACACTCTTAGGCAAGAAGGTCTTGTGGTTTGAAAAAAACTGCAAAAAGAAAAGAAGAAAACAGTGTGTGTGCACTCGGGGTGGGCTTCAGTTTGCATCAGAAGCAGATTTAGTTGAACTTTAAAAGGCTAAAAGGGCTTTATTCTATTCTTGGACTTAAGCTAAAAAAGTTAACGGTAAAGGCGTAGCACTCCATGAAGGAACATATTCACCCTGTCTGTTGAGAAACAATGGAGTCATAGTTGTTTTAGTCAAATCTTGATTATAAAAGTGTGTGTTGGCAACAAGCTCACCACACTACATTTTTGCTCAATTTTAAACATTTAATTAAAGGGGATATATTTTGTGCTGCTATGTGAGTCTCTACCACCTTTAAACACTCCAAATTTGAAAAAAACAACAACAAAAAAAACGTATCCATTCCTTTTCTGTCAATGTTTGGTTTTAGTAATTATGTGGCTAAAATTAGCGGTTTCCAAAACTCCCTGTTTGGGATGTCACAAACAGAACAACTGCTCTCCTGGCTGAGGGAGAAGCAGCTCTACTCCAAGCCACTCCCAGATTTTGGAGCTTCTCAGTCTATAGCAGCCTGGTCAAGGGATAAGTGGGCGTGGCCAGCTCCAACTTGTTTTCCTAAAGTGACAGAGCCCTGAAATGGCTCACTCTGGAAGTTACTGAAGCTGTCAAGAATAAAACGTCTGAAACTGCTTCATGTGAGTGCAATTCTGTGACAAGAACGTCATGAACATGTTTTGTGTGGCCTATAAAACAATTGTAACCTCAAAAATATGTCATGTCTTCAAAGGTGACAAAGAATCTAAACCAACTTTTTCTTCTTGTTTGTGTAACAAGTCTCAAGCCTGAGTCCTGTCACAGGATTAAATTTGTTCTGTAAAGAACAGAGAAATGATTTATTAATACAACATATTTTCATTCTACTCAATTAACCATGAGTTTTCATCTGCTCTCAGGAACAATTCACACATCATACTCCAAAATTACAACCGAGTAATTATCTTTTCACACAATTCAAATACCCTGTTAACCAAATGTACAGAAGCTACATATTTTTGTATATTTATTGCCTAATGGTCAATTCGATTTACTTGTTATTTATTAACACACATTTCTAGTCATACAGACTTGACATAAATGACTGCTTAACGTAATGTCTTTGTTTTAATGTTGACCCAATGGTAACCCATAGAAAAAATGACTGGTGTAGCAGATTCTAGCACCCTTTTTGTACCTTAACATGTAATCAAATCACAGAACACACTCAACAAGCCTAACCAAACAATTTATCTGGAGAGCTAAACTAAATCAAGAGGAACAGCAACTCTGCACACCTTCAATGTTCGTGGTTAACTACGTTAGCACACACGGCTAACGCATTAGCATACTGAGTGTGATACTTCCAACGGTTGTGAAACCGCACAAAGAACGGCTACATCAAAAAGTATGCGGTCGGTCGGCACTTTAAGTTAACATAGAGATCATAAGTATCACACATTTGCAAATTACGTAACCCACTAACCTGTAAAGAACAGAGAAATGATGAGATCGGCAACATGTGGTGTGCTTCCTGCTGTCTCTCAAGCCAGTCTGAGGGGAAACGGCTACCGACTAGTGATGTGACGTTAACGAACGAATCAAACGAACGAATCAAATCTTTTGAACGGGTTTTCAAAGTGAATGATGAGAGCCGAGTCCCTGCAGAGAGCCGTTCATCTTAACAAACCTCCATGGAAGTCGGTCAAACTCACCCGCTCAAACCCCACCCACTGCTGTGATGGACGTAGGAGGAACCATAGATATGTATACAAACACGTGTTTATATACATATCTATGGGAGGAACGCTAACCAACCCCATGTGCCCTCACGGACACTGCAGGAAGACGTTGCTCCAATTTATAGTCTCCAGTTTCTAAGGCCTTCTGGTTTACACCAACCAATCAGCAAGCAGCTCATTAGCATATTCATGTCCTGGCCAAGTGGGAGCGGTAAACAACTTTTTTCACAGCAAGGCTGATTTAGGACGTTAGAATGGCCTGTATCAGGGCTCCTGGGACAGATGAAAGCCAAAAGAAAAATTCTTAGGCTTCTTATAGATTCAAAGCACTCTTTTAGATTGCTGATAAACTGCATTCGTTGTCCCCTTTAAAATAAACACAGGAAAAAGCATTACTGCTCCCGCGTTTTGCTCTTCGACAGTAGGAAATAAAATGAAGAGTTGAGGCCTAACTTAAAAGTTACAATCCATGATTTATTACAGAAAAGAGTGATATCCAAAGTATTTTATGTTACATCATTGTTTGTACATTTAACTGTTTTTACATGTAAACAGGAATGAAGTAAACAAAGCTATTCATGTCACGACTCATATCATCCCATTAAACAAGTAAATCCATGAGCTGACGTCACTGTGCTTCCACATCAACTACACAATCCCAACAGGAGACGTGGCATACAACAGGAAGCTTCTCATCTCCGCAGACAGCTTTTTCAGATATGTGCAAGGTCACACCATTGTTACTCATACAACACTCATATTGTGCTTTTGCCAATGGTGGAAGGCTTTTCAGAACCACTTTTCAACCACTGTGCAGCATTAACATTGAAGGTTTACTAATAAAGATCCATTTGGAAATGATTAGTAGCAGAGCGAGTCAGACATCCATGATTATGCCGTTAGTTATTCATTAAAACCACCGGTCTCCCCTCAGGGTTAAATAGCTTTACATCGTTACTGTTCCCAGTTCACATTCGAACTCTCCGTGAATCTCCAGAACTGATGACGTTCAGCAGTGTGGAGTCCGAGCTGTCATTTAGAAAATGTTCCTTCAGTATAAAATCCAGTCCAGAAATGATCAATGCTGCCAGAATCTGAGGTGATATGTTGAAGACGCTGTTAACACCTTTACAGAAGTGAGCTCCGCTGAAAGCAGCTGTTAAGACGTGCATACTCTACAGTACAAATGCACATTTACATCTGTTTCTGATCAAATAAATGTAGCATTCAAGGATAACATGCATAGATTTTTTATGTTCACATAACAGGAAGATACTCGGAAAACTTTTAAGCACTGATTTAAAAGCAATGAAACCATAAGTGGTGGGACTGAAAGACCTGAAAGCATCATTTATTCATGATGACCTGCAGGTTTCCATGAAGGGCACCGTATGAATATATTGTATGATTTCTGCTTTAATATACAAAGCGCAGCGTAACTTAAAAGTTCAGGACAGTGTGCATATCAGTCAAGCAAAAGCACTGCAGTACAAAGGTGTGTGACTAAAACGAAAGCAGGATTAATTGCATCTTTTAGTAAACTTTGGGAGGACAAACATTCAGAGGACACCTGAGTAATGTGGACGTTACTTTGTCTGTCTGAGGATGAGAAGATGAAAAATTATAAACATAATGCAAAAATAAATATGAAAAACTTCAAGGACAAAAAATATACTAAAGCATAATAAGAACAATAATAATTGTAAACAGCTGTGTGATGAGTCCAGGATGTTTGATACTTTTGCGTGTCACATTTATGCAGCGTTTGTGTTTTCTGTGCATAACATTGTTTACGTTTCCCATCAGCTGACCGATACAACCTGTCTCCTTTGGTGTTTTGGTTAACAAATAAGTAAAAACACATTAGTGCTGGTCAGCTCTCCTCAGCTTGACTGGTGTGAGTATTTCTGATCCTCCCTGACTCTCATGACCAAATATCAGTCATGAGAACTTTCTTCCTGAGTTCTCTGGGCCCAAACACGCTGTTCTGATCCATGACTTCCCCAGTGACAACAACAAAAGGCAATGTCACAACGCTGCATCTAGCAAACGACTCCAGCCCTGGTTTCAGCCAGCAGCCAGATCTGTGCTTGATAGACAAACAGAAGCTTGCAGTTCTTGTGTTACGAGTTAAAAACAGTGAACAGACATTCTTTGCAAAACTGAACATCCAAGCCACAGTTATGTCCAAGATCTCCAAGTTTCAACCACACTTCAGAGCTTCCAACAGCAAATGAAAAACAGGCTGAGAAGAGAAGATCGGAAGAGCAGATTTTTGGATCCTGGGTGATGCACGGTGTTTGTGTTACAATATGGTGTTACCGCCTGCTGAGATAGGTAGGTACTGCAGCGTGACTCATATTCAAAACAACCTTAACAGGAGAGTTCACGGTGTTCAAAGCAGACTGGAGAACAATGAGAGAAAATATTTGTTGCATTTGGCTACGCAAAATGTTGGTGACACAACTGTGATGCACAAGAATTTAGCTCCATGGTAGGCACAATCAATTTTGCACAAAGTTTACATTTCCTCAACTCTAAACAGTCAAATGCAGCAGTAGCACAGAAAATATCACACACACTCAAACACACACACGTGAATCAGGCATCAGGATGAGGAGTTTTTCTATCAAAAGGTACAAAACAGGATTACCATGCACATTAGAGATTTGAGAGAATTGTTTGTCAAACGCACAGAATGGATGCCAACATCCTCAACATTAAGTGCTTCCACTGTTGGTGCACTTTCTTTGCAGTTGATGAAATATCTGCAAATATCAATCAGCATGCTTCAGCAGTGATGCTGCTGTTACAGCAGCATCAGTTTTATTTGGTAGCCACATCACCAGGATTACTCTGCAACAACTAAACGCCAAGAGCTGAGTCACATACGGCGACAGGAGGGAAACATGCTGCAAAGTGCTAGCTGCCACACAGAGAGGGAGAGAGAGTGCTGGATGGGTGCCATAAACAAAAGAGCGCTGATCTGCAGCCCTTGATCTGCATAGTAAACATTACAATTGCAAATGTTTGGTTCACTGAAGCCATGACACAGTACAGACCCAAGGGCAACCTGCTAGATGGGGCCGGGTGAGGGACTACAAGAAACCAAAACATAGAACACGTGGGTCTTAGCTCTCTAAGGAAGAGCCGCTGGAGAGAATGTCTTTGGTGTAGAGAATCAATCAGCCGAGCAAAGCCACACTCTCAAAGCTGAATGAGATAAATAAGCAGGCAGAGCGGCGGCTGTGCCTGTGAGCCAAGGGCTAGGTGATGCGTAGCAAACACATGAAACTAAAACTAAGGCCACTCGTGGTGATAACGTTTCCCGTTCTTTTTCCTCTCCTTCTGGAGATGCTCCAGTTCTGCTTCATACATCATCTCCTGCATCAGGTACTTTTCCCTCCTCATGCGATCACAGAGATCCTTCGGCATGTCCGGGATGAGGTACGCAATGAAGGACTTGATCCCAAACACAAGGTGCTAAAAGAGGCAACAACACGGGTTAGCATGCAGAGAAGCTGCAAACAAAAGCTTTGATGCATAGTTAAATGTTTGTGAAGTTGTATGAAATAGTTATTAGTCATTTTTATTTTATGTGCAGAGAAGAAAGAAATCAGAAATCTGGGAAAAATTCTCAAGAATTAAGCTAGCTGCTGAGTTTTCCCAGTCTAATCCTAAAACATCCAGACAGTTACAATGATTACAAAGCAAAGTGCTTTGTTTATCCACCTGCATGCTACTCGATGAACCAACATAGCATATGGGTGATATGCTGTAGTTGAGAAACTACATGCTGCAGGATTTGCTGCACAAACACAAACAGACTGTTATTGTTACGTCTGTCAGCAGCTGGTTGTAGATTATTTCCCTCTGGGATCAATAAAGTATTTTTGAATTGAATTTGAATTGAATTGAATTTAGGGTTAGAGAATATGTGTTTCTCACTCTTTAACTGATCCTTAAGTGTCTGCAAAACTTAAACAAATAAAAAAAATACATTTGTATATTCACAGAACACTGTCCCCATAGAAAAGGCCTCAAATTGCTCTGACCACAGTCTTCAACAGATGAGATCATGTTTATGCATGTTCACTCCACACAACCCCAATTGAAATAAAAAGAAAAACCAAACAATGTAATAGTAAAACTATTTATATATGTTTTAAACAGCAGACAAGTCAAAATCTTCTCCAAAAACATAATCTAATTAATACACATACAGTAAAGCGCTGAGGCTTTCGCTGTAATAAGAGCACCCCCCCCCGCCCCGCCCCCCACCCAAAATAAACATCCAAAGCTGCTAAAACGATTAAAGCTGATTTAAAAATCACACACTGAGAGGGGATTAAGTTTGAGCTGCATGCTTTTAAATACAAAAATAAATAAATGAATTAAACAGGCAGCGACAGACCTCAAAGACGATGATGAATGCTAGCCTGGCAGCTAAGACGTGCCAGAACTGCAGGGTGAATTCGTAGGGCGCCGAGCTCCAGGGAGGAGCTCTGTAGTCCCTGTACCTGCAGTATCGGTCCTTGCTGCTGTTCTTCAGATCCCACATGTCAAACACAGACAGGCTGCTGTTCATGTAGCCTCTCAGGCACCTGAAGGAGACGTTATCATGCTGTAACACGAGCCGCACTGCCATTGTTATCTTTAGGCTGTAAATACTTACTCATCTGCATGGTGGTGGCCTTTGTCCACGCAGGGTCCGTATTTGAAGGCGTAGACAAAGCGAGGGATGTAGTCAGAGGTGATGGCGATGACGAAGGCATTGGTGATGACTGCCAGGACTCCAATACCTTCGAGGATCCCGTGCCAGATACCTGCAGAAAAGAAAGATCAGTCAGTTCTCTGTTAAAAAAAGACAGTGGGGAGAAAATAAGCACCGCTCCCTGCAACTTTTAAAATGTTTTACTAGAGAGACCATCATCTGCATTAAACAAACCAAATAATCTGCAATGAAACGTGAGCAAACTGTAAATATCAGGTTAAACCTACAAAGATTTTTCCTTCAATCTGTGATAATCTGACATGTCATATGATCATTTCAGTGAGACATCTTTGGTATGTTCTTTCTGTGTTTGGCTTCTAATTTCCATTTGCAGCGTCAGCTCTGAGGATGTTTTGCAGTCAGCAAACGAAACTTTCTGCAAGGTAAAGAGAAACCTTTTCTGTGTTTTAAAAAAGAACCAGAAATGGAATTTCAGTGAGACGTTCAAAATATTTCTGCACACCCTCTGTTTTTATAGAATGTGCCCGATTGGAGGAGGAGGCGGCACAGGAGGTGCAACATATGGCAGCACAGAAGGCCAGGAGATAAAAACAGGTTCATCTCCATAGGATAAATGATTACTGGTTAATATAACATTTTACTGATTAAAAAGAAAATCTTTTAATCTTGCTGATTTGTGACATAATTGTGTCCTTACTGCTTTATCCCACCTGTGACCCAGAAATCAGTCTACACATGTATGAAATAGGAGCTAGTAGGGCTCCCTCTGAGGGAGTGCAGTTTGTGATTTATGATGAATTATCTCCAGCTGCAATTTTGCATCAAAGGTGGAACAAAACAGAAGGGAAGAGGAGGGACTGGGTAGATTAATAAAAGAGAGAAAACAGGAGAAAGTGTCCTGACTTTAAAAATAGCACAGACTGCAAAAGCTCTAAGTGAAAACCTATATCTGTCGCTCGCGCCGGCATGGGTCTCCTCCACTGAGTGACAAACTTGTAGGCGTCCAGACGAATCTCGATGATGTTGTTGAGCAGAGCGAGGAGGGGAGCCAGCGGGAAAGCTGCTACGAAGATGGTGGTGAAGCCAAACTGGAGAACTATGGCAAAGAAAATCCGACTTTCATTTGGGCAGTTTTTCAGGAGTGTTATTTCCCTCACGCTCAGAGAAGTGAAATGTGTTACCCATTTCCAGGTATTCATCCACCAGACCGTGGGCATTCATTGGCTGTAGATTCCAGTCTTTGTCCCACTGTGGAAGCTGACTTTTATTCTCCACATTCTGCCCTCCTCCTCCTCCACCTTTCTTCATTTTTCTACGAGACCACCAGTTCTGCAGCAAGCTAAAACAGTAGAAGGTAGCTACCGTAAACTCTCAGCATTTATATCTGATACTTAAATGCAGGAGATATTTTCATAAGGGGGATTTGTGCAAATTTTCAGAATAATACTTTTTTTTTCATTTTCTAACAAAAGAAAATGATAAATAAATCAACTTCATGATTAAAAACCACAGCATTTAGCGTCAGTGTTTGTTTTTTACTCACGGATAACCAAGCTCCATGAAGTTATTCCAGATCTGCTTGAAGAACATGATGACTCCCATTTGCAAACACAGATCAATCAAACAGCCGCTGGGGTGACACTGAGTGAAGAACATTTCAATTAGAAACTACCGTGACATCAATGCTTCACACCCGCTAATTTGAAGAAAGGAGCCCATCTTTGCACCGGCTAACTCCCATTTCTGTTTTCTGATCATTAGAACAGAAAATCCAGGTAATTGTGGGGAGGATTGATTGTTCAAACTGGAAATATGCAGGCTGATCATTAAAAAGATGAATCACATGGGAATTCTGAAACCCGGATAGAACAATCAGCTCAGTGGCGGCTGGAATAATCATTGTGAATACCACACACCTCCTCCAGTCTCCATCGATTGAAGAGTTTATTGTATTTTCCAGGCCTGCCAGCAAACCTGAGGAAATTAGGGAAAGCACCAAAATAGGTGGAATTCAGTGAAAGAAGCACTAAAAAACTGAAAGGAGAAATAAAAAGACACATAATGTCATAAGAACAATTTCCCGGTCAGGACTAAAGATTTTAGGCTTCTGTGTACAATTCTTTAAATAACTCCCAGTGAAAAAGGAACGGCGAAGTTTCGTAGCAGCTGACCTACCTTCCGAGAAAGAAAGCGATGTAAAAGGTGGAGCTGTTCAAATTCACAAACTGGAACAGAAACATCTTCAGAGCAAAACTGTTCTCCCACTCAGACTCGGTGCGTGGGTGCTCTGAGGAACAAGAACAATTACTAACAGAGAAAACAAAAGAAGTCATCTATAACTGTGAAGTGATCATTAAAAGTGTTTGACGCTCACCTAAATTTGTTAGCAGGTATGCCACCTTTTCATAAACCTTTGAAAATGACAGAACATGAGTGTATGGGGGTAATAATTCATGAACACCTCCTGGAACAAATCTCTAAATAGAAGCCACACGGAACATTAGTCGGACAGATGACGCTTGTCCAGACACCCACCACGTTGAGAGACATGATGATCATGAAGTTGATGCAGACGCCGGTGCCAGAAGTGGCAAACTGCCAGTTCTTCTTAACAAAATTCCAGTTGAAGGATGCAAACTTCTCCATGGCGATGAGGCGGAACACCACCACAGCGAACACGGCTGTGAGAACAAGGGAGATCTAGGCGGGAACGATGAAGACAAGCTTATTAGTTCATGTGCAGCAAATCTATTTGATGTTAATTCAACTAAAGACCAAAACATTTCTCACTTATACAAAAATAATAATAAGTAAATAAACTATCTCATTGAAATACATTATTTCTCCAGCAGGGGGTGATGTGACACCAACATGTTGCAAGGCTTGGAAGAGAGGCCAGCTCAGTCTGACCCAGAGTCTCAAAACGGGTGATTATAGAAAATCCAAAGGTCTCACCATGAAGAATATTCCAGACACCGACACCAAGAGTCGGCTGAGTTTGTCCGAGAAGGGCTGGAAAGGCTCAGGCTTCCCAGAGATGGGATTAACTCTCTCCAACCTGGAGTATTTGGCTTCAAACTGGGGCCTTAGCTCCTCCTGAATGAAAAAAATTTATTTAATAAGCTCTATGTGAAGCAAAAACATAAGAAAATATGATATTAGGTCACATTCAGGCTTTAACGATGTACCTCCTCCTCTTCCCAGTCAATAAGATCCCAGTCATAGGTCAGTTCTGCCCGTCTCCTTTTCCAAAACTCCAGGAATACGGTTGCTACAGAAGGGATAAGGACTTCATCATTGATCTACTTTGATACGTACCACACAGGGCATAGGGCAGTTCAATGATGACACAGTGGAAGAACACAGCACATCATCGTCAGACATCCTGAGTGAAGCTGCAAAGGCGTTTACAGCCCATAACGGAAACTGATTACAGCCATCAGTCTGCACATCGCACCAGTTAAAAGTCTTTGCTTCTGCAGTGTTCAAACACCCGGATCATGTGATTTTGTGATGAAAAACTTTCAAAGTGAACCCTCCGTGGGCAGATTCCTGTCTGGAGCCATTGTTTTCTATGTTACTGGTCTCTGTAGTGACTCGAGCTGCATGAGTGCTGCTCCATCACTGAGATGGGAAGCAAGAAAAACACTCTCACATATACATGCATGCATCCACACACACACACACACACACACACACACACACACACACACACACACACACACACACACACACACGCACACACGCACGCACGCACACACACACACACGTGCACACAGCATAGGTGGAAAGATTGTAAAGGTACATTTCTGACCCAGCTCTATTAAGTTATTACTTATTTAACATTAAAATACATTTTGTGTTATGTTGTAGCAGTGTTTGATCAGTGGTGTGTGTTTTTATACCATATTTAATGCTCGTAAGCAACAACAGTTGACATTTATTTAGTCTGTCAGCATTCAACTTAAAAACCATCATTAACAGCATCTACAGCCTCGGATCATTGACTTTTCCAGTTTTAAGCAATAATGAATCTTTTGCATTGGGTTTTTAACAATTAGCACCTTACCTATTGTAGATAACTTTTCGATATGTCTTATTTTGGAGAAAAACATTTCTAATCATGTTGAAACAGTCAGTGTTTGGGGCCAAGACCAAAGTGGATAGCTGGCATTCAAAAACATTTTTAATTTCAAAATATGAAAATGATTTATGCAAACATTAACTTTAAAGCATTTACACAGCCTAAGTTGTGTCTTACACGGTTATTTACACACGATTCTAGATATTCTGCTGTGAAAATTAGTGTTAGGATTGCCCTAATATAAGGAATCATCTTGTATTTGATACTTTTTCATAGTCACTGCATTTAGAAACAGATAACACAATTCTACTGTTCAAAAATAATACTGTCCTATGATATCTATGCATTTCACATAAATCCCAAAAAAGAATCTGTTGGTTTTTAAAATGCAAAAATGATGGAAAAATACAGAACATTTTCCTTCATAATGATTCAGCTGGTAGGTGTGAACTTCTTAGCTATACAACCATGCACGTCTACACTACCCTGCCCAGCCAGAAATCCTTATTTTAGATTTTAAACATTTGCAATCCTATCTAACAATAGCACTTCCTGTTCAGCCTGTATTTTTGCAGGAATAACCATATTACCAAAACTATATTCTAGAACAGTAAAAATTATTGGATTTTTTTTTCAAATCTGGGTTAAGACCAAACATTTAATCAAGATAAAATGATTCAATAATAAACATGAATAAATGCATATAACTAAATAAATACGGTGCAATCAGGATGGAACAAAAGGAGCAGTGACCTTCAGAAGCTGCAGGATCTGAATCATTTCAAAAGGAACATGTTGACAGCTGTTACAGTTAAAAACATAGAAGTTTAATATAGCTTGATCCAGTTTTGTTTAAAGAAACAGAAAAGCGGCCGTTTTAGGTGCCTACAGTCAGTCCTGTAGGATAGCAATTATTTCATGTCTATCTCACAAATGCATGAAACATGTGACCTAGGTGCACTTGTTCAGCGGTGCAGCTGTGAGTTTGGTCCACTTTGCTAAAAGATGGTTTCTGTACTCAGACATGGACGTTCCTCTGTTCCATTTAGTCCAAACAGAGGAGAAAGTGTGCCAAATGCTCCCTCTGGCGCAGGTGATTATTTACCATGTTGGTGGATAAACAGATGCGGCTGAGTCTCTGCACACTCACACACTACATCACAGAGACAATACAGCTCTAGGAAAGCAATAAAGCAATGCTGTTGAGCAATTCTACAATCCTGACAGGCAAATGATGATCTTAGTGTGAGGAGATGGCTAATTATTCAGCTAATTACATCAGGACAATGCTGAAAGTTCAGATGCAGATGCTCTGTCATAGAAAGAGAGCTGACCATTATTTATCCTCCGACAGACACATTACAGAGTGAAACTCCCACCATGGCTAAAATTCCCCAGCTGAAACACTTAATGTGCTTGGAGCGCTGAAAGCACGACTGGTGTTTAAACAAATCTGCACACCAGGAATATTTATAGCAAGCAGAGAAAAAAAAACAACAAAACCTACCCCAAATAGCCATGAAGATAGCAAAGAACACGGTCCCACCATTATCAAACAGACGCGTCACCTAGAATAAAGAAAAGCACAACAGATGGTTGAGAAAGACAACCTTAACCTTGCTGCACCTGTTTGATCAAATTCATGAAAACAATGCACAAAGCATGTTTGCCCCCCCCCCCCCCCCCCCCCCCCCCCCCCCCCCCCATCTTCCGCCTCTCTCAGTAAACAGTTTTGGTAAAATAACCAACAGCTTAAGAGTTAGATTGGCAAACAACACTTTTCAATCTGCAGAGTAATTATAAAAGCTGTAAGCTGATTAGTTTAGCTAACAAACAGGAAGCAGTGGAGACACTTAAGAGGAACTTAAAGGCTCAAAAACAACATCTGTGCTGAGAGCATTGGAGTGTTTCCGCAGTAACACAATTACAACTGCAAAAATATATTTATATATATATAAAATAAGAACTTTTTTAAAAGCTTCTCTTCAATAAAATGCCAACATTGCTCAGTTCAAGAAGTCAAACATGACTATGATAAAATCTAGTTCTCAGTGATTCTGAGGTCTTAACATAAACCAATGAGGTAAGTCCATTTTCTGTTTCATTGTCATATGGAGCCAATTCACAACGGTAATCTCAAGGTGACTTATCAAAAAGGGTAAACACCACTAATTCATGCAATTCAATCAGACTCACTTCAACATCAAATCAAATACAACTCAGTTAATTGCACGATGAATCCTGAACAAACACTGAGCAGTGGGGGAGGAACAAACCTCCAGCAGAACCAGGAAAAGAAACATCACCACAGAATGATCTGATGCAGGGACGATGGTTAAACATGAATGCACCTTTGCGTAAACACAGCTGTCACTCAGTGTCCATGGCTCACAGGTCTCCTCACACATCGGACACATGATAGTGCTGTTGGCTTCACAAATCTCCTTGCTGTTGATACATGAGATCAGAAAACATATTTATGAGTTTCTGAGAGCAGAGGCATCTGCTTGCGGCTGCTTGAGTGGACTGACCTGACTTGGCTGGAGTCCATAGTGAAGAGTCCATACAGGAAGACAAAAACACCAACCAGAGCTGCAGGAATTAACATGCCAGTGTACCAGCCCAACCACGCAAAGTAAAGACCGATCTTCTCTCCAAAGTAGCGCCTGAGGGGAGCAAAAGAGACAATAAGAAAGAAACATTGTCCACAATTACTATTAAATTAAAGCGGCAGTGCACTTTCAGCGTGTAAGAGTTGCTGTGAGGTGATTTTGGTGACTTAATGGAAAAGAAGCTGTCTGACTGAAAGGTCTCTGTGATGGGAAACAGATCAATAAACCTCTCACGGTTCAGGCTGAGAAACAAATCCTAATTTTTGAGCTGCCTAGCAGTGTTTCCTAGTTTATACTGTATCCAAAAAATGAGCCTTATTGTCTAAAGAAGAAGAAAAATTCCTTTATATTTTACCAATCAGTGGATATGAAGCTGTCAAACACTTTAAACTAAAAATGAAGGCTACAGTTTGTTGCTGGAGACAAAGACTGAGAAATTGTCTTTGTCTTCCAGAAAAGACATAAGATATTTGCATCCTCAACATCTTCTGTGGACTGAAAATGAACATTAAAATGTGTGTGAGAAAAATCCAATGCAGAATTGAATAAGACTAGCATCTCTTTATCCATTAGCAATGATGACTCATTTAGGCTTTGGATTTGTGTTACAGTGCTGATAATATTACTGGTAAATTAATGTATCTGAAAACTAGTGAATTTCTTTAGTAAACACTGCTGTGTGTAGAAATCCTGCAGACAGGATAGAAAATCGAAGGACTCCCTAAAGAGGCAGAACCTACAGCTTCTCAAAGCAGCTTGATGCAAAAGTAATTAATCAGTAAAACAAAACCTAAAAGGGAGAGTCTGTAAACCAGCTTGAGTCAAAAAGAATTATAGAATGAGTTGTAGAAAAACTTTCAAGTAAGAATGAAAAGACTTTGAATTAAGTTGCTAAAGAAAGCCCAAAACCATGAGCCAAAGTTCAGGCTCCACTTTTCCCTTTGATGGACATTTGGTAATCACATCATTTTGGATCTAATGTGTCCCCATTTGGAGTTTAGGGAGATAAAGCAAAAACTCTGATCTAATTATTCACTTTTAGCTGAGAAAATGAAACAGGTTGGGAAAGGGCTGAGATGACATTTCTGCTAAACAGAGACCAGCTGTCAAGCAGCAAAGGGAACAACTGGGATGTTTTCTGATACATTTAAACATTACACACAGCAGACCAGGTATATAAATAAAGGCAGGTGTACAAGACCCATACCAGGAGACGGTCTCCTGCTCTGCAGCTGCTTACCTGATGAGGTCCAGAGGCTGATACTTGTACCAGATCCCCCAGCGAGCCCAGCGCTCATACAGAAGATGCCTGTGGTTCTGAGCACCGTGTGTTTTAATTGGATGTCTGCTCTTGTAACCACCCTGAGGAAAGAAGTAAAGTGCTAAATATGGCATTGAAACAATACACCTCTCTAACATTTTATGCTGCTAACATCTTGCAGAAATTATTGTTTAATTATTGTCAAATTTGAAAACTTTTCACTTTACATTACAATCCGCCCACCTCATGTGGAGGAAACGCCGCCTCGTACGTGTTGTTGCCCAGTAAACGGTTGATGCCTGCAGTAAAAGAAAGCAGGATATCTCAAAGGAGGAACAGATCACCTCCCAAAATAACACAAGAAACCTACATTAAAAATTCAGGATTGGTTATTAATAGAACCTGGAGTCCAGTGACAGACTTGATGAAACCAAGACATTCACAGTCAGAACTATAGACTTTAAACAGCAACACATTAAAAGAAACTTCTCACTGATTTCTCTTTGCTGCAGTGGTTGCAAAGTAAACTGACTGCAGGTGTGAAAACAGTCCTTACTCCAGGACAGCACTAGTTATTTGTCCTGCCAGTCTTTGACAAGAACTGCAGAAAGTGAGAGCAGGAGGAGGACAGAGAAGACGTGAAAAGGACTCGTGGCCAGGCCTATCTGGTCACTGGTATAAAATAATCATTTTAATTTGTATGCTCCTGTGATCTGAGGCCAAAATCTATTGAGTAAAAGATTAAATAATTAGGTAACAGTAAAAAATATCAAAGAAAAATAAAACTCGGGCATTGTATTTAAAGTTAACAACTACTTTAAATGATAAGCTGCCCACAGCATTTGCTGAAGTCAAATTCATACAAAAACAATAAATAAATCATTTGAGGAAATAAACACTCTTCATATTTCACCCATCCTGAAAGTGATGGATGTTTGCACATTGTGGCACAGAAGCAGCTGCAGGAGTGGATATGGTTTAGGAAGGCGAGGACAAATTAAGCACAGCACCGTACCCATCTTTGATTTCCCGTCTTCGTACTTGGTACGCTGCAGCACATGATGGACTATCCTGCTTCTGGTGGAGTTTGAGAAGAACGTCTCTCTGTTGTTGATGGTGAAACTGCACAGAAACAACAGTAATCAGTAATTTATCACAACACACTGTATCAGTACCATCCCATAAGAGATGGTCAGTCATGACAGTTCATTAAAACACAATTCATGGTGCAATGTTGTGGGTTTCTGCTCATTCCTGCATCATTATTTTACCGATAAAGCAACTAAGCAGCCAAAAGAAAAGAAAAATGGAAATTAGACGTTGTGTCTTTTCTCAAAGAAAATTTTAAAGGATATAAATAAATAGAAGAGAATTATTTAATGGACAGCTGCTGCAGCACTCTGATGTCTTATTTATGATCAACTCTCTGACTTCTGAGTCAAAGGCTGAATGTTATAAAATATACATATTTTTTCCTGCGTTCCAAATCTAACAGGATGAACTCAGAACACAAACAGATGTGATAGATGCGAGGGATATTTGATCACTAATGCTATCCATACAGACACTAGCATTACTTGTGACAGTGAGTTTGTGCGTGTGGGTTCCTGTCATGGCAGGACTTCTTACTGATGCATGCGTGCTCTGCTGAAGGGAGCTGTGTAGCAGTCTGTTTCCTCCAGGTCAGGCAGAGCCTCTTTGTCCAGTTTCATAGGATTTTTGGGAAGCCAGCCTTTTATCTGCTGACATCTCAGATGAAACCTGCTGCAGAGGTGCACAGACAAACAAGGAATAACAGCACTGATTTTCATGATGACAGTTTTTTTTATGTGAAATTATGGCTAACCCCTTTGTAGCCTCATTCCACCATCACAAACACATCTATGTGAACATTTGGAACAGTTCTGCTGGTTGTTATATAATATATAAATGTTTATACCTCCTCCTTGAACCGTCACCTTATCGTGGTGGAGGAGTTTGAGTGCCCTAATGATCCTAGGAGCTATGTGTTCTGGGGCACTTTGTGCCCCTGGTAGGGTCTCCCATGACAAATTGGTCTTAGGTGAAGGGTGAGACAAAGAACGGTTCAGAGGATCTTTCATGGATTTACAATCAAATAGTCAGAGTACCCGGCCCGGAGGGTTACTGGGGTCCCACCCTGGAGCCAGGCCTGGGGTTGGGGCCCGTGAGCAAAAACCTGGTGGCCGGGCTTTCGCCTATGGGGCCCGGCCCAGCCCGAACCGGATACATGGGCTCATCCAACTGTGGACCCACCACCTGCAGGAGGAACATGAAGGGTCCGGTGCAGTGTGGATCGGGTGGCAGACCGAGGCGGGAGCCTTGGTGGTCCGATCCCCGGACAAGGAAACTGGTTTTTTTGGACATGGAACGTCACCTCGCTAGCGGGGAAGGAGCAGGAGCTTGTGGCAGAGGTTGAGCGGTACCGGCTAGATATAGTCGGACTCACCTTGACACATAGCATTGGCTCTGGAACCCAAGTCCTTGAGAGGGGTTGGACACTCTACTTTGCTGGAGTTTCTCCGGGTGAGAGGCGGAGGGCTGGGGTTGGCTTTTTGTTAGCCCCAAGACTCTGCCTGTGTGTTGGGGTTTACCCCGGGGGATGAGAGGGTAGCTTCCCTGCGCCTTCGGGTCGGGGAACGGGTCCTGACTGTTGTTTGTGCTTATGGGCCAAATATCAGTTCAGAGTACCCACCCTTTTTGGAGTCCCTGGGACGAGTGCTAGATAGTGCTCCATCAGGGGACTCCACTGTCCTGCTGGGGGACTTCAATGCTCACGTGGGCATTGACAGCATGACCTGGAGGGGTGTGATTGGGAAGAACGGCCCTCCTGATCTGAACTCGAGTGGTGCTTCGTTATTGGACTTCTGTGCAAGCCGCAGTTTGGCCATAATGAACACCATGTTTGAACATAAGGATGCCCATCGGTACACATGGTACCAGGGCAGCCTAGGTCGCAGGTCGATGATAGACTTTGTAGTCGTATCATCTGACCTGCGGCCGTATGTTTTAGACACCCAAGTGAAGAGAGGAGCGGAGCTGTCAACTGATCACCACCTGGTGGTGAGTTGGATCAGATGGCAGGGGAAGATGCCGCGTAGACCTGGCAGACCCAAACGCATAGTGAGGGTCTGCTGGGAACGCCTGGCAGAAGAACCTGTCAAGACGGTCTTCAACTCCCACCTCCGGCAGAGCTTTGACCGCGTCCCGAGAGCAGTGGGGGACATTGACCCCGAGTGGGCCTTGTTCCACTCTGCGATTGTTGAGGCGGCTGTTGCTAGCTGTGGTCGCAAGGTGGCAGGTGCCAGTCGTAGTGGCAACCCCTGTACCTGCTGGTGGACACCAGAGGTTGAGGGAGCCATCAGCCTGAAGAAGGAGGCCTGCAGGGGGTGGCTGGTCTGTGGGTCTCCGGAGGCAGCAGACAGGTACCGGATAGCCAAGCGGGGTGCAGCAGTGGCAGTTGCCGAGGCAAAATCTCGGGCGTGGGAGGAGTTTGGTGAGGCCATGGAGAAAGAATATCGATCGGCTCCAAAGAGATTCTGGCAAACTGTCCGGCGCCTCAGGAGAGAGAGGCAGCAACTCGCTCACACTGTTTACAGTGGGGATGGGGAGCTGCTGACGTCAACTGGAGCTATAGTCAGACGGTGGAAGGATTACGTTGAGGAGCTCCTCAATCCCACCTACGCGCATTCCGAGGAGGAACCAGAGCCGGGAGACCTGGGGATGGACTGTCCAATCTCAGGGGCAGAAGTTGCTGAGGTTGTCAAACAACTACACAGCGGCGACGCCCCGGGGGTGGATGAGATTCGTCCTGGGTATCTCAAGGCTATGGCTGTTGTAGGGCCGTCGTGGTTGACACGTCTCTGCAACATTGCGTGGTCATCGGGGGCAGTTCCTGTGGAGAGGCAGACCGCGGTGGTGGTCCCCATCTTTAAGAAGGGTGACCTGAGGGTGTGTTCCAACTATAGGGGGATCACACTCCTCAGCCTCCCTGGAATGGTCTACTCCAAGGTACTGGAGAGGAGGGTCCGATCGATAGTTGAATCTCAGATTGAGGAGGAGCAATGTGGTTTTCGTCCTGGCCGTGGAACTGTGGACCAGCTCTATACCCCTGCAAGGGTGATGGAGGGGGCATGGGAGTTTGCCCAACCAATCCACATGTGTTTTGTGGATTTGGAGAAGGCTTATGACCGTGTCCCCAGGGGCACCCTGTGGGGGACGCTCCAGGAGTATGGGGTGGGTGGCTTTCTGTTAAGGGCCATTCAGTCCCTTTACCAGAGGAGCGTGAGTTTGGTCCGCATAGCCGGTAGTAAGGACCTGTTCCCGGTGAGGGTTGGACTCCGCCAGGGCTGCCCTTTGTCACCGGTTCTATTCATTACCTTTATGGACAGAATTTCTAGATGCAGCCGTGGTGTGAAGTGTGTCGAGTTTGGTGCCAGGAGAATCTCGTCTCTGCTTTTTGCGGATGATGTGGTCCTCCTAGCTTCATCCAGCTCTGACCTTCAGCTCTTGCTGGGTAGGTTCGTGGCGGAGTGTGAAGCGGCTGGGATGAGGATCAGCACCTCCAAATCTGAGACCATGGTTCTCGACCGGAAAAGGGTGGCTTGCCAACTCCGGGTCAGGGGAGAGGTCCTACCTCAAGTGGAGGAGTTTAAGTATCTCGGGGTCTTGTTCACGAGTGAGGGTAGGAGGGATCGGGAGATCGAAAGGCGGATTGGTTCAGTGTCTGCAGTGATGCGGACGCTGAGCCGATCTGTCATGGTGAAGAGGGAGCCGAGCCAGAAAGCCAGGCTCTCGATTTACCGGTCGATCTACGTCCCAATCCTCACCTATGGCCATGAACTTTGGGTAATGACCGAAAGAACGAGATCGCGGATACAAGCGGCCGGAATGAGTTTCCTCCGTAGGGTGGCCGGGCTCAGCCTTAGAGATAGGGTGAGGAGCTCGGCCATTCGGGAGGGACTCGGAGTAGAACCGCTGCTCCTCTGGATCGAAAGGAGTCAGTTGAGGTGGTTTGGGCATCTGGTCAGAATGCCCCCTGGGCGCCTCCCCGGGGAGGTGTTTCGGGCATGTCCTGCCGGCAGGAGGCTCCCGGGTCGACCCAGGACACGTTGGAGAGGTTACATCTCCAATCTGGTCCGGGAACGCCTTGGGGTCCTGCCGGAGGAGCTAGTGGAGGTGGCGGGGAGTGGACGGTCTGGAGCTCCCTAGTTGGGATGCTGCCCCCGCGACCTGGACCCGAATAAGCGGAGGAAGAAGACAACGATAAATGTTTATACAGTAATATATGAGCCTGGGACCCACTAACTCATTCCCAGAAAAATAGGCGTTTTTCATCATAACGTCACTAATTAAAATCCACATCTCTGAAAACATGCACCAATTTTATGAATAAAACGTATTTCTACAATCATGTAAAATACCAGCATTGTGTAGCATCCTAACTTACGTACAATGGGATGCAAAAGTGTGCAGCCTTGTTATTCTTCATGATTTTCCTTTATAAATCATTGGTTATGATACAAAAAATTCAGATAAATATATCATTTAAGAGACACACACACAGTGGTATTTGAGGAAATAAAATGAAGTTAAGATTTAAATAAAGTGTGCAATAATTGTTTAAACAAAATTAAGCAGGTGCATACATTTGGGCACCACTAAAAATAAATAACTCGATAAGTAGTAGATCCTTCTTTTGCTGAAATAACAGCTTCTAAAAGCTCCCTATAGCTTCCAGTGAGAGTCTGGATCCTGGCTGAAGGTGTTTTGGATCATTCTTCTTTACAAAACATATCTAGTTCATCAGGTTTGATGCTTCTGAGCATGGACAGCTCTCTTTAACTCACACCACAAATTTTCAATAATATTCAGGTCTAGGGACTGAGATGGCCGTTCCAGAATGTTCTACTTGTTCCTCAGCATGAATGCCTCAGTAGATGTTGAGGAGTGTTTAGGGTCGTTGTTTTGTTGAAAGATCCAGCCCCGGTGAAGCTTCAGCTTTGTCACTGATGTGTCTTTCAACTTTAACAAGATTCCCAGTCCCTGCACTGGCCATAAAGCCCCACAGCATTATGGAGCCACCACCATGTTTTACTGTAGGTAGCAGGTGTTTGTCTTGGTCTTTTCTTGCTGTGTCCTTTATCTTCCATGCATAACACCCCTTGTTATACCCAAATAACTCAGTTTTAGTTTCATCAGTCCACAGCACCTTATTGCAGAATGAAGCAGGCTTGTCTAAATGTGCTTTAGCATACCTCAAACAGCTCTGTTTGGCTTCGGGTGGAGAAAAGGCTTCCTCTGCATCATTCTCACAAGCAGCATCTCCTTGTGTAAAGTGCAATGAATAGTTGAACGATTCACAGTGACCATCTGCAGCAAGATGATGTTGTAGGTCTGTGGTGCTGGTCTGTGGGTTGACTCTGACTGTTCTCGTTTTTCTTTGCTCCTGTTTATCTGAGATTTTTCTTGGTCTGCAACTTCGAGCCTTAACTTGAACTGTGCCTGTGGTCTTCCATTTCCTCAATACACACCTAACTGTGGAAACAGACAGCTGAAGTCTCTGAGACAGCCTTCTGTATCTTTCCCCTAAACCATGATGGTGAACAATCTTCGTTTTCAGCTCAGGTGAGAGTTGTTCTGAGACCCCCATGTTGCTGTTCTTCAGAAAATATTCAGAGAGGAGGGAATCCTCCAACTGACCCCTTAAACACTCTTTCTCATGATTGGATTCACCTGTTTATGGAGGTCAAGGGTCACTGAGCTTACCAAACCAATTTTGAGTTCCAATAATTTGTTCTAAATGTTTTGTAATCAATAAAATGACAACAGTGCCCAAATTTATGCACCAGCCTAATTTTGTTTAAACAATTATTGCACACTTTCTGTACGTCCTATAAATGTTGTTTCACTTCTCAAACATCCTGTGTGTGTCTCCTATATGACATACTTAACTTAAATTTTTATCGTGACAACCAACGATTTCTAAAGGAAATCATGAAGATTAACAAGGCTGCAAAACGTTTGCATCCCACTGGGTATTGGGTATGGTGTTGGTGTAACACTTCTTTATTAGAGGACATTTAGTTGCAAAAACAAACAAACTTAGACCAAAAGAGGGAGCATGACCACACAAGCAAAGTGGCAGAATCCGAAAAGTGCCATTTAGGTTTTAGATTTACCTTTTGTTTGTCTAGCAGAATTTTCCACATTATTTGAAATAATAAAGTTACATAAATCATAAAGTGACAGTACACCAAAACACCTATTGTAAAAAAAACTGTGATATTTCTCCTTTTTAAAAACATAGAAACAGCTTCTATGATATTCTGAGGGTGGGGTCAGCTAAAATGACTTTGGGCTGCTAAAGTTGAGTAAAGTTACTGAAGTCATTAGTGTTTATGTCTTGGGGAGCAAAAACGTGAGTAAAAATCTTCCTTATAATCCATCTAAGACCTTTTAAAGAGTCAGACACATGAGAAATTAAAAGTTGAGAATTTAGTGAGTCAACTTTCAGGCTTCCAGTGGAAAATGATAACTGGAGCTGTGTTAAACTTGATTTAGACTCCCCTAGGGGGACAACAAATCTATAGACAGAAGGTCCACGCAGGCAGTTGACTTGTTTGTTGAGCTTATTTAGTGTGATCAAGTGTTTGATCATCTGACAGAAAATTGATTCACAGAAAAAAAAAACTCAGAAATTGGCTGTCTAATGACAAGATTCCTGAGGAAAACACATTTGTTGCTCTGGAGCGTTTTATTGAACTTTGTGGGCTTCTTATGCAAGGCAATGATGACATTTAGTCAACAAGCTGTCAAAGTGTGTTTCTTAATGTTTCATTGTGTAAGAAACACGTAAAACAAATGATTGATCAGGTAGAATTTTCTTTTAAAAGTTAACAGAAATGGTCTTCATTCTTGGAAACTATGAGAAAAATGTACAGAGTTAAAGCAGTTACTCCTGTATGTAAACGATCACTATTCTATTTATTTTATGTCCTAACCTTTCATTCATATTATGAAAAACCAACCTGTGGTGATAATGATTCAGTCTGAGAGATTTTATTGATTAGAGTCTGCCTCCATGATGTAGCAGATGCATGAAAACGTGACTTTTATGGCAAGTAGACCCAAAACACTCTCATTAACTGTGTCAGTAAAGTCTGTTTGGAGCCAGAATATGACAGCAAAACGACTCACATTCACTTGAATCTATAAATCTAGTCGTATTTCATGACTGACGGCGCCACGCTTCCAACAAGTCAAACATTAGCCTCTCTCAGCCTTTTCTGTGGTTCAAATGTAACTCCACTTAGAAAACTGTTGTCATTGTGAACATCAACATATTAAAAAGGTGGGGATTTCTCAGTAGTATTACATGTTCAGAGCAAAAATACGAAAGACCAGGGAAATAATAAAAAATCTTCAATTTTATAACTTTAATTTTGTGGGACTGAATGCTATCAACATAAGGCAGACATAGTACGTTCGATGTGCAACTAAACTTTTGTTTTATACAGAAGTTGTTCTGGTGTGAGGTTTAATTTCGACAAAAATGGGGAAAAAACAGAAGATGTCCCCATTTGGCTCTTATAGTGTGAATTCTGCACCCTTGTGGACTATATTAGAGATAAGGAGAGTGATGTAATGATGTGAGTCCCGTTCGCACGCGTGATGTGGACAAGACGCGTGCACGAGGTATGGCGGAATTCTGACGCCATACTATAGGGCATGTTGTGGTCTGTGGGGGAAACCCAGGCCCCCACAATGCAGCTCTGAAATTGAGTCAAACCCGGAAGTTAAATAAATTGCAGTTCCACCCTCATCCGCTGGGGGCCGGTGTCAGAAACGAGCAAATCCTCATTGACTCCCATGTTAAAAATACCAATTTCACAGCAGAAATAAACATGTTTACAGCCTGGTACCAAAACATGTTTTTGGTTTAAATGATCTAGTTTACACTCATGACAACTCTGAGGGGGGTGAATTTTTTTCTCACTCTTCTGTTTAAGTGTATTAAAAGCCTAAAATTCTGTATAATTAATGAGCATCAGACCCACGTGACCACAGAGCTAGCTCCGTGGAAAGGCCTCAGAAGAGCCTCGGTCTGGCTTGGAAACTGCTCCGGGATTTTGAGTCTCTGTGTTTGTGTATTCTTTTTGGATATTATTTGTGCAATTGTTGGACAAAATGACTTGCTGTGGCATTAATTGCACTAATAGAGCGTCCAAGGAGTCTCCACTTCATTTTTTTCAGTAAGTAAAATTATATTTATGTATTTTAGGTCACTGCCGAGCTGAGCTTAGATTTTAACATGTACTGTTTAACCATGAAATTTAAATGTAATAAGGTAAAACCCAGTGCATTTAACATAATGCTGCACTTTAGAAAATGGGTTGAAATATAACATGTTGGTGGAGCTGGGTTCCTTCTGACTATCGGCTTGTGGAGCTCTCAGGAGACCGATGTTTTCCACCCTTATCCCCTCCCCGCAGCCCGGTCCATCTCTGTCTGATCGCGGCTTCTGTTTGCTGCGCGCGGGCTGACGGCTGGTTCTCCCAGCAGCTCGGCGCATCTGTCTGATCGCGGCTTCTGTTAGCTGCGCGGGCTGACGGCTGGTTCTTATGGCAAGCCAGAACTGCCAAAATACGCCACTTCTCCCCGCAGCTCGGCGCATCTCTGTCTGATCGCGGCTTCTGTGTGCTGCGCGGGCTGACGGCTTGTGGAGCTCTGGGATGGAAACCTTTCCACCCGGTTCTCCCCAGCGGCAGCTCTGTGCATCTCAGATTGCAGCGGCACTTGTCTGCTGTGCGGCTGCCGGCTTGTGGAGGTCTCTGAGACCTCTGTGTTCCACCTGTTCCACCCAGTTTTACCCAGCGGTCAGCCCGGCTTATCTCTGACTCAGAAGCTCTGGTGTTGTGCACAGTTAATTCCGGTTGTAGCTAGGTTTCTACCTCCGTTAGCTTAGCTCCCACCTCCGCATTAGCTTTGGGTTAGCTTCAGGTTAGCTTGTAGCTAGTTCGACCGGGTGTCGTCAGTCGATTACAGCCTTACAGCCCTACCCTCAGCTCCACCTCTCTTCCCTTTTATGGAATTGTCTGGGCTTGACGGAACCTGTGACACGGTCAAAATGGCGGTGGTGTCCACCTCCCATTTTAGCAGAAAAACTTGTTATTGGAGCCTATGGAAACCCATTGTCCATATATTTATGTCGATGGGGAAACCGGAGTACCCGGGGAAAAACCCACGCATGCACGGGGAGAACACACAACTCCACGCAGAAAGGCCGCAGCCGAGCCGAGTTTCAAACCTGCAACCTTCGTGCTGCGAGGCAACAGTGCTAACCACTGTGCCACCATGCAGCCCCATGGACTAAATTAGTTTCATATTTAATTTCTTGAAAAGATAGAAAAATGTTCTGCAATATTCTGCCTGTAAATCCAGCTCTGATTCCAGAGGTATCCAATCACACTCGACATTTCTATCTGCCCAGTGTCTGCAGTTAATCCACATCAAAGCCAAATTAAATCACGGTGGGCAGGATTCTGTAGTTTGCAATAAATCTCAGTCTGTTCTGCAGGCTGCAGCCAGGTACGCCTCAAATCCAGGGTTTTAGGATCTTGGGATGATTAGTTTCCTACGCTATGAAATAAAATAGATTCTGGAAGCCTATATTATAGGCTTTGTATTAACACAGTGATGTAATGCATTAGTGTAGCACCACTTCCTGCCAACTCTGACAAAATTAACAGGTTCATCAGTCAATATCGCCATCAAGAAAACCCATTAAGTGTGAAGTTGCAGAAGATAAAGTCTTTCCTTTAATAACCCGAGATGCTCAAACTAAAAAAAACTGTGCCGTATGCGTTGTTGTCTGTCTGTTTCTATCAGCATCCCATGGAGGAACAACAATAGAAATTTAAATCTCTGCAGAGTTTGAACACCACATCAAAGCACACAAGTGCACTGGTCTATAAATAGCATGCAAATGAGCCTGTGCAGCTCCACGTATCTGCACTGAAAGACACAGCCAAAAGTAGGTGAGACACTGTTTCGTACCGTTAGCGAGAAACTTGATGAGTTTTTTGTAAAAGTTTAGAAAATTATATAAATATATTTTATGTTTTTTAAGAAAAAAAACTTTTATGTATTTTGCTGCTTTTTATCTGTGCAACACAAGGAGGCTGGATTTCTAATTACAACTCTTCCAAAGACCTTCTGAGTGCTGCGTAATTACCACCACTAATTACCAGTGGCTGTGTTGATTGCAAAGGACAGCTACTTCCTTTCTCTGTTCCTCACTAAGAGGTTCTTAAAACCAGATCCACAGCTTTTGTCTCAGCATGCAGCAGATGCACTGAAACTATAAACATCACCTTCCCAGGGTTTTGCGCTTCCAATCTGTAAAGTAGCATTTTTTTCTGAAATAAAAAAGGAAAGGAAATATACGTTAGACAGCAGAAATTCCTGAAGGTAAACTTTCTGATTTATCTTTAACAACAGTTACCTGAAAGGCATTCGGATGTTCATCTGCTCTGCATATTTGCAGAGCGTGTCCCACGGAGCGTGGATCTTCACAAACATGATGTCATTGTTTGTCATTGAGGGCTTTAAATTAAAAAATAAAATAAAGGTTTGAAAGCAAAAACTTCAGGAAATAAACAACGGATTTTAATGTTTTCAGACCAAACCTCCTTCTCCAGCATGAGGCCCTCGGCTCGTAGGTTCTTCTCAAACGTGCACCTCTTTTCCACCTGTGGGCTGGACTTCTTGTAAACCAGGATGTAATCAATCCTCTTTTTTCCATCTCGGAAAAACAGCCCAGAGGAGTCGGATCGATTCTTTTCCTGTGGGAATTTCAGATGAAAATTTTCAGTGTTTTTTTTTTTACAATCTATTTTATTAATTATTTGCCAAAAAGGTTCATTAGAAATAACAGTGTTGCTCACCTGAAGTGAATCTGTGCGAGTTCCTAATTTTGCACGGCTGATGGGCTTCTGAAGCAGGAAGGTTGGGTCTGCTCTGGTTTCATTCGTGCTCACTTCAGTCTCCTCCACGTAGGTATCTTTGACATCTTCTGCTGCACAAAGACAATCAAGGCTGTTTTAGTGAAAAGTATTCTATGTGCTTTAGGTCTTTGCTGCTGTTCAGGCCAATAGTTCCCTTAATCTGTCAGCCAACGCTGAAACTGGATCCCAGCTTAATAGAAAACCTTATTTTAGTGTGGGTGTCAGTATGAAGAGGCAATTTAATGCAATTTGAAAGATCCAGGGACGGACTATGACGAAGCACAAGTCTGTCTTTCTGCCTTTCTGCATTTTATAAGTGACACGATATAAAAATATGACATTATCTGAGCTCAAGAGAGGATATTTAGGGGTCTGTTGGTTAAATAACTCAACCATGGGACTTTGTTTTGAACCGTTGTTGGTACCAAAATGTGTTAGTCAGTGAGGAGCTTAGATTTATAAGGAAATGCAAACTCAGTCAAGTCTTGCTGCATTTATGTTACCCTGTTATCACAGTCATGTGACTGGCTGTGAGTCTCATTTGTCTCTGTGTGTCCCTGTGCTGGACTAGTGACATGTCCAGCATGTTCAGCAGAGGTCCGTTGTACATCCTTATTGCTGAAGTTGTGCACTGCTGCACAGACAAACCTCAGCACAACTGCAGTAAAACCAGCAAGTGCATAAAGCACAACTGCAAATGTTACATGTTTAGACAAGATTGTGGCTGTTTTAATTTGTTCCTTTGGGCGCACGGTGCATGACTGCATTATTCTCTCAGCTCAGCCTCTGTGGCTCAAAGAACACTTCACGTCTCCACGGCTGATTGAACTGAAGGTTTCACTTCCCACAAACACTTACCACAATACAGCTGTAAAACTTGAAGTTGACGGAAGTTTAAGAATGAGATGAGTGTGAAAAAGTTTTTAACAACTCCACCACAGAGGATTCTGGGTTATTTCAAAAGCACAACCTCCCTACAAGGGCTGGCATAAAAGATTGATGCATTTAAACACGTTTAGGCTTAAATCATGCAAATCAACCATAGTTTATATTAACAAATGCCTCTCAGGATTCAAACATTTATTTAATGATGGACTTCCTGTTGAATACCATTTTTATTCTCAATGATCAAACTGATTATAAGTGCCGCTGTGCCTTTATTCTGATTAGAGATAGAGCTACATCGGTGATAATTAAACATGGGAAATGTAGCATTTCTGGAGCTGCAGCAGCTGTTCATCCTTCTACACCACACAGGCAGCTTCCGCAGCTTCAGAAGGATTGTGTTCTTGTCTGTCAATCCCTGATGCTTCTTCTATTTTCCTCCTTCTGTCTGCCTCCTCTTCAAGTTGAAGCAAAAATCAGACTTTTTTCCCTGACGCCAACCCTCTGCATAGTGTCAAAGCATGTACAAATGCCTGCTGCTTCTTATAAAGTATTCCCAATTTACTCCTCAGAACTAGAACAAATGTTTGCACAGAAGGCATTTCAAGATATACAAAATCCTCAAAAGTGCTGCAAATGCTACTTTTGTATTGGGGAAACCTCTCTGTTGCCTCTGAATATTCCTGAAGTGATGAAGTGAATAATTTCCCTCTACAACAGGCTGCTTCGTGTGATGCAAGGATGTGTAATTTTCTCTCTTGACAGCAGTTTTCCTCATTATCTGACTGCAGCTGTGACCTTACGTAAAGTTTTATACATTTTCTGCACTATTAACACGATCGGCATCAGTATGATGTAGGGTACACTTTGCAACAGAAGCCAGGGCCTGTGGATTTACTTGTCTGTGGGGGGAGGAGGCTGCAGGAGGTGCTGATGCTCTGACTCAAGTCCTCCACATCTGGTTTGGGATCTGGGCTCAGAGGTACAGACAGGAAGTGGTTGAGGTTGATGGGATGAGTCTGACTCTGTGCCAGGCAGGGCAGGCTGCGGCGAGACGGCTTTAGGCTTTTCTCCTTCAGGATCTCACTGATGCTGGTGTGCATGCCTGAGGAGGGGGAGAAGGAAGAGGAGAAGAGGAAGATACTTGGATTAAAGATCTATGCTTGCATGAATGCTTTTGGACCACCACATTGCAGATAAACGTTTTAAACTATTAAACTGAAATTATGGATTTGGTTTAGTCCAGGCAGGCTTGGTAAAAAGCAAATAAACAAAAGAAGATTTCTTAAAGTTTCAGATATCTGAATATCTGCAAGTCAGGCCCTTTTCAGTTGATACCAGCACGCTAATGCAAGTGCACCATTATTTGTGTATTTATTCTGTAGTCACTGTATTATGAATGTCTAGAGAGGTAAATCTAAACAAAACTGTCCATTTATCCAGGTTCAGTTTACATTAAATTAAATTAGTTGTAACGTGATGATGGAACTGTTCCACCGAAGGTTATTTACCCTCTCTCCTCAGATGTCTCTGACACAGAACTAATCTGCATGAGACTGCCTCAAGGTCATGCATTTGCTTCTAAACTGCTTTCTTTCCAGCTCACGAGAAGAATGAAGACAAATGACTCTTTCCTTTTAACAAATCAAAGAACTCTATTTTTAATAAAGCTAATCAAACAAAGTGTTTGTCAATAATAAGATGTTGACCAATCTGTGAAATGACAATGTTATGATTAGTTTTTAAGAAGTAATATGACTTTAATCTAGCTGCACTAGACATGCTGACTACACGTAATGTAAACGCAGGACACATTGCTTTTATTCATCCAATCAGAACCTTCCTTTCTGAAGCGTGGCATAGTCTCTGTGGTGTTTATAAATCTGCCAACTTTGATTCAACCAGAAATCAAAACATCCAGATTAATAAAACCAGTCCCCACACCATCTTAGTTCAGTTCTCTGCAGTTCACCGCATTCTAAGAGAAGTATCGGACCGGCCACCCGGACTTCCTTTTTAAGCAAAGAACCAACAAGCTGGATAAAATCTGTTGCATTTTACCAACCAAGCAACGGTTCCTTTCAGAATAAAAGGAATTCCGGGTGGCCTCATGAGCACAAAAAAACTGTTTCACTTCAACACTATATCTTACAAATGAGAGTAAAAGACCAAGGGAAATAAAACAAAAAATCAAAGCACAGCGTGAAAAAACAAAATGGGAAAATCTCCATGTTTTTATGGACCACAGAGGTGTTAATCCAGTCCTCCAACAAGGTTTTAAATAAAAATGATTAGCACTTCTGCTCCATTTGATCACGAAGAACAAGCAGCGTGATGATGCATCAAAACACATTTGCTTAGTGCTGCAGCACTGCAAAAACTGACTTCAAAGTGAGATGAAAAACATTCAGTCAAATTAAATTATGCTTTTTTTTTGTCCAAGATATTTCTTCCAAATGGGTCATGAACATGTGTTGTTTTGTTCAACAAGCACAAACATCTGCATGTTTTCCATAAAATGCCCATTTTGGTTTTTTATTTTAAGATATTTCATCTAATTAAATTTATTTTAACAGAGATCCAAGTTAAAGCAGCAATGATCTGAGCTGCAGGTCAGTGTTTTAGGTTATATTTGCTATTCAAGGTCGACTACAGCAACAAAGGAGCCAGATGACGATGACAGGTCAAACTGCTGCTTAAGACAATACAATCCAGACCATACGCTATACATCAGTACAACTCTCAGAGGTTAATAACAACAATGAACATGTTTCGCCATGCTGCACTCGACCTTGAGCTGAGGTATCCGCTTCAGTGCTGCAGCTGTGGGCCGATAAATCCATGAAACCAAGCGCCTCTAAATGTGAACGTGACTTACTGTCACCTCATGTCTCTCAGTGACCTTTCTGAAACGATCCGCTGAAACACACATTTATAATTCACTGCTTACACCTCCAGTGCATGCGCTGCAAGCTGCACAATAACTCAATTTCATGGCATTTATCTTTGTGGGGTTTTCCAGTTCTGCTGGATGAAAAGAGCCTGACGTCCCTGAAGGAACTGCTGATTACAGTTTATTCCCATCACAGCTCCACAGATATGAAATAAGTTAAAGCTGTGCTCCATGGCTCACATGAGAAAGTTTTAAAAGAAATGATGATGTTCTTTAAAGCAGTTATGCTGAAGGCTCTGGACCTCTTGCCTTTAACAACACATTTAAAATAGTGAATTAAAAACCATTTACACATAAAACTCTGATCAATTACATGAATATTCACCCAAAGGCAACATGAGCAAACAGATGGATCAGCCGGTGTTATGGCGACTAATTTTTGCCTGCAGAAGCATTCCATTTGGCCTGCAAAATGTTGACTTATTAGTGAATTATGCACAGGGGGCAGGTGTAACAGCTCAGATAGAGTTATGACAGCAGAGCTTTGGCCAATCAGAGCACTTATCACAGAGCACTGTGAGATGTGGGAGCTAGTGATGAGAGGACATGCTGCTGAGCTCCTAAAAGCTTCAATGTTTCTCTTACTGAGAGATTAATTCATATATTGATGAGTTTCTGGAAGAAAATAAATACATTCTGTGTTACTTGGTGCCAGGCTAAAAGACTAGTGATTGTAATTAGCATCCGTTAGTTGAGTATTAGCCACTGTTATGAGGTTTTATTCAGACGTAAGGCTTTCGTTGTCCAATTTCTGTAACATAATGTGACAATTACTGGAACTCATTTCATTCACCGTGATTGTTTCTGGAGACGTCAATTAATTTGATGACTAACCAAGTCAATCAGAGAGCTGTGAAATCTGCTGTGGAGTGTTTTCATATGTGTTTTTCCTATGAAGGGGCAAGAATGTTTGCTTACCTCATAAAACAGACTAATCAATTTGTCTCCATTATTTTTTCCAATGGAGGATGTTGGTTCCAGATGGTCCCAGCAGACTGGCAAAGCTCAACATGTCTATGATGACGCATCAGCTCAAAACAGGCTAATAGGTCTGTAGGGTGCAAGCTGTTGGCCTCCAAAGACAACAGCATGTTAACAGGTAAGCCACATATTAGACAGTGGTGCTAAAATTGATCTAATGGAAATTTTTATTTTACTCAAACAGAAGCAAAATGCCAGATTTCTCTGGCTCGGAGGACAGTAGGGAGGAGATAATAGTTATCAGAGAATCCCTGCCTTGTTCCAAAGCTTCTGCATCAACAGTACAGTACCTTCTGAAAATGGTGCATTGTGTAAGACTGCATTAAAGGGTTAGTGAAACTAAATCCAGTGTATAATCTGTCTCTGCTGTGGTGAAATTGTGTTGCAGAGAATGCAAATCCAGCGTGAGCAGGGCCTGAATATATGGGTGCCAGTTAAGTTTGGGAGTCACTGAGAGTTCACATTTATCAGTTTAAACACACCACCTGTTATTACAACAGAGGGCACTAAAGACAGCCCTCTAAGTGGCAGATGCTTTAAAAACATCCACAGGATGAGAGGTGGTAGGAGCTCCAGGAAGGGCCGTAATCTGGGATTTTATTTCTCTGGTGAGGCTTGTCCGTTATGGTCTGCTTATGATGAGATTAAATACATCTTTCTCATTTATCTCTGCATGAGTAAGTATATCTATGAATGTGTGCCACTGCCACACACGTGCTTGCAAATCTTTGTGATGCGACTCTTGCAGGGTTAAATGTAGAATCTGAACGTTCTGCTATTTTTCTCTTAGGCTTTTGTGACATAATAGGATGTTTCTGGTGAGTGTTTATCAAGTATAACAGCCCGATTGTTCAGTCTACTCAAAGAATGTAGAAAATCCCTTGAAAACAGAGTTTTAAAGATCAGCTCTGAGCAG